CAACAACAACAACAACAACAACAACAACAACAACAACAACAACAACAACAACAGCAACAACAACAATAAGGACAGCAACAATAAGGACAGCAACAACGACAACGATAACAACGCGAAAAAAGGGTAGGGGTGGGGATAACCCAGATTAACAGATCGAGATCGACAATTTAACTCATAGGTAGCCGATTTATAAGACCATAAATAGCTGTATGTTGTTTGTGCTTGCTTACCTCATTGCTTTTCTCCAAAAAGCTTGTTGTTCTGTTAATTTTCTTTTTTTTCCGACCCACAACTATGTAAGGAAAAATATTTCCGCCCCGGGGGCGTGCAGCGGGTTTGTGACGAGGTCTTAATTCCGGTTGCTAACGACTCCACAGGCTGTTCAGTACTCTCTTGGAGCTATGGGCTCTGCAGTGACCCTCCTCGTGTCACATGATACTCAGTTTGTCACGTGACCACGTGATCTGGCCTACGTCCAACGCGCTAAAAAGCACTCTTTGGGAATACGGTGGTCTTCCTGTTGGCCTTGTTTTGTTTTTAATTGTTTTATTATACGTTGTTGGTTTTTTTCTCCCTTGGTTTTTTTTCTTTTTCTGGCGAACGTACACGCTGTTTGTTGATTGCTGTTATTATTTTCTTCTGCATCGTATCGCTATTAAAGAAAGATGAAGTTGAGGAGTACGTGCAGAGAGGTCTCATATGTCTCTGGTCTGTTGTCTGTGCGACAATTTCAAATGTAGAAAGAACCTCAGCTCCAAACTTATCAGGACCTCGACTAACTTTATTGGCAAATTCGCGTCAATTTCTGCTTTAGAGCTAATCTCTAAGGCATGGTGTTTTATTAGCCTAGCGTACCCGATGAAAATTTGAGTTTGATACAACCACTGTAGGGTGTGATTGTGATTCTACTCTATAGCCCTTACTTTGAAACATTAATTGTTTAAGTAACGTGCTCGCACAAAAATTACTTTTACAGTACCTACCTGATTTAGATCTAACAATTTATTTTTCCTTAAATTTCAGAACCTGCATAGATCTAGTTAAGCTCATAAATTTTCAAAGTTGGTTAATTTGCAATGTAGTATTAAATTTACCTCTTTAGAGCAAAAATTATTTACTTCGAAGCGTTTCTGGTCGGATTTCAGAGAAAAGAAGGTTTTTGCAACTTTCAGAGTGATAGCTTGCTAGAAACTGTAAAATACAGACCTTGGGAGTCCATCACACTAATTTCCAGCTATCCATGCCAAAGTCCTTGAAAGCGTCGCTTTCTTTTATGTTCTGGATTGTGCACAAAGCATCTCATTCATAACAAAAGTGGCTTGAAGGGTTAAAACAGCCATTTACAACCCACAAGTGTCCAGCACTTTAATTGCTCTCTCTCCTTCTGTTTCCTCTGCCCCCCCCTCTCTCTCTCTCTTTCTCTCTCTCTCTCTTTCTCTCTCTCTCTCTCTCTCTCTCTCT